ATAAAAAATATTTTTAATAAAATAAAATGATCAAAATACCCTCGAAAGTTTCAAGGGGTATTATTGTTATTATATTTTATCGAAAAATTATTTTTAATATTTTTTTATAGGTGCGCCCCAATGATAATGTGGCATGTACCAAAATTCATATTCATTTGTATAAAAAAAATTAAAAATAAAATACTTTGAGACGCCAGATCTAAGATCAAACAATGAGTGGCTATCTTGATCAAAATCAGACGGCTGGATGGTAGGGGAAGCATAGATCTTCTATGCTGTAGGGAAATTATAGAAACATTTCCCTTAATTGAATGGGTGTGGTTTGTATAAGGTTAAGGCATTAAACAATCTAAAGAAGACGCACCTTCAAATAATGCCGGAATATATTGTTTTAGTATCATAAATTTTTATGATGTCTTGAAAGTTTATTTTACCTCTAATTATAAAATTTAAATATTTAAAAACAATATAGATCGAGCACATCTATAAATATTTGAAAAACTAAAAAATTGATGGTCTAGATAATACATTACTAGATATACTATTTTCAAGACTTGAAATGTATCTTTTCTCATGTCCATAAATCTTGAGGTTGAGATGGTCGAATTGATGGTTTTTTAGCATCAAAACCACCTCTTCTAGTGAATTTTTAACCGCGCTTTAATTTGATTGTTTAGGGCCTCACCTTTATATGAACTTTTTCCTTTTTGAATTTTCATGCTTGATTTGAATCATGTTTAGATTTGAAAATTTTATAACTATAGAAAAAAATAGATTCTTTCGCCATCCTAAGAATTTTTTATTCTAAAATTACATCTTAACAAAGGGAAATTATCGCCATTATATCTATATTTTAATAAAATAAAATAAAAAACCCCAACTTTCCAAAACCTCGCCTACACATTTTTTCTTAATTTTCGGCTTTTTTTGGATGAAAATACCATTTACGGCAATTTAAATACCGTAATAAGTTGAAGGAGTATTACGGTAATTTAAATACCGCAATACTCATTACGCTAATTAAAATACCGTAAAACCTTAAAGTAGTATTACAGTAATTTAATTACCATAATATTGCCCAAGCCTCATAATAAATGATTTTCTACTTTCTCGAGTCTATTATCTATTTACTCCATCGACAAAAATCTATGCTAGCTGTATTTTTCAAATCTCAAAATTTTAAGGTATAATTTCTATTTAATTTTTATATGGTTATCAAAATTTTTAAACAAAAACACTCTTAAATAGGTATTTGTGAGCAATGGAGTAGATCCACATCGTACTCCCATAGGAACATAGATTTTTTTAAAAGAGATAGGGGTAGCCTTAATATTAGCTTGGTTTGAAGCTTTTCAATCAATAGGAAGGTGGAAAGCCTTTTCCATAATTTGAACTATTACGGTAATTTAATTACCTTAATATGTTGGAAGTCCTTATGGTATTCTTATTACCGCCTTGTTGGTTGAAAAACTTTAAACTGAAATTAATATCAGGGCTGTCCCTCTCTCTTCTCAAAAAATCCATATTCTTGAGCACGATGTGGATCTACTCCCTCGCTCAAAAAACACCTATTTAAGAGTGCTTTTGTTTTAAAATTTTGAGAACCATATAAAAATTAAGTAGATATTATATCTTAAAAATTTACAATTTGAAAAATACAATTAGCATGGATTTTTGTCGAGGGAATAAAGAGATAGTAAACTCGAGCGAGTAGAAAATCCTTTGTTATGAGGCTTGGATAATATTGCGGTAATTAAATTACCGTAATACTACTTTAAAGTATTACGATATTTTAATTAGCGTAATGAGTATTACAGTATTTAAATTACCGTAATGTTATTACGATAATTAAATTTCCGTAATCTACTTTAAAGTATTATGGTATTTTAATTACCGTAATACTCTTTCAACTTATTACGGTATTTAAATTACCATAATGTTCATTACGGTAGAAAAACTACCGTAGAAGGTATTTTCGTCCAAAAATACTTAAAATTGGGAAAAATAGTGTTGGCGAGGTTTTGAAAAGTTAAGGTTTTTTTTATTATTATTGTTATTAAAATATAGTTATATTAACGATAATTTCCCTATAATAAATTTGCAGGTGCATCTTCCTTTAATTGTTTAATATTATAACCTAACGCAAACCACACCCTTTATATTAATTAATTTCAAAACTAATAAAAAACTACATTAATCATTATCATCACATAAGCTTATACTAACTATTTAAAATTTGCTACACGAATTTTGTTCCATTATTCTGCTTGATCACTATATCACTATATGTTTTTAACTATTTCTATACATGTAAAAACCATTTCAGTTAATATTATCACAATATGAGATTGCGTATATGCTCAAACAAGGCTCCCACCGAAAAAAAAAAAAAAATGTGCATGATGGAGGATCTAAAAAACTTTACTCTAGATGCTTTTTTTGAAAAAAAAGCACAAAAAATAGTAAAATTTTAACGATATAAGAATAATTAAAATGAACAATATTGAACAATCTAAAACTAGCGTTTAAACTAATCTATTTTTCATAGGAAAAAGTTACCCGCTCTAAACAATCAAATTAAAAATTTTACTTAAAGATCTTGTTATGAAAGAAAAAAATGGATTTCAAGTTTTGGAAATGGTGCATCTTGTAATATATTTTTTTTCTGTCACTTTTCAATATTTTCAAGTTTTCATAGATGTGCTCAATTTACACTATTTTTTAAGCTTTAAATTTCATAATTAGATATAAAAATATATTTTTTAAGGTTATCACAAAGATTTTTAATATTGAAACTGCATTTCTCGATACTATTTGAAGGTGCGTTTTACTTTGATTGTTTAGAGCCTCGACTTTATACGACCCACCCCCTTTTTCAAATTCATAATCATATAAAGCATGGTCCAAAAACAAAGTTTAGAATACTTTTTTTAAGAATCAAGATCGTAGTAGTCCAAACCATTAAGCAATAGAATTTTAGGTCCAGATTTTTTTATCTAAGACGAATATTTGACTGAGACCGCAATTGAATAGATATGTAGGCACTATGACCCTATCCACATATATAAAGATCAGGTTAGGTACAAATTGAATCACAAAGAGCCTGTGGGCTCAGCAACGTCCATATTTAAGACGTACGTCGTAAAAAACTCCCAGGCTTTATACGGTGCAGAAATCTTTTAAAAAAAGTCAATTTTTAAAATGATTTAATGGGGCATATGTACAATATAAGTCGTCTTACTCATAGAAACTCTTTTTTTTTTAGTAAGTCAATGGGAAAAAAACCTTACCCGTTTTTCATTAATGCTTTAAATTTAAAAAGATTTCAGCACATTTCTTAACAACAATGTAACAAAGTACATGTGACAAATCATGGAGTAAAGCAAGATAAATAAAATCTGGTGAACAAGAACGTCAAACAATGGTTTGTAAACGAGATGTAGCCATCTTTGTAAGAATATCAACTGGCTTCATAAAAAATGTAGGTGATAAGCCACTTACAATTAGAAAGGTGTTGTCTACAATTTGCTACAATTGTATGCAACTTTCAAGGAGATCGATAGTGTTCATAAATAACATTAACCAGCAATGCTGAATCACTTTAAATCTGAAGAGGGAAACACTTTAACTGAACTGCTAAGATCAAACCTTTATTCAAGAGCAGAGAATTCCGCATAATTATTAAAAACAATTTCAAAAGGTTTTGAAAATGCTACAATAAAAGCACCATCACAGTGTCAAATAACACCATCCCCACCTGCTTGACCTAGGTTATACAAGGAAGTCACATCAATGTTTAATTTGAAGAGCTAGGAAATGACTACGTGTCACACCCCAAGAATTTACAATACTGATATTCCTGAGATGTGACAGTCAAAACTTATATACATCTCTTGATAGGACAAATTTACACTGACGAATTCTTACAAAGTAACAAAAAAAAAGCTTAGACACAACTACAATATCTTCCAAAGTTGCCCTTGACGAGTACTCAAAATGAAGCCACAGTTATCCTGAAAAATGTTTACCATAGTTTGATGAGTTTGGCTACTCAATAAGTGATCATTATAATCCTAAAAATAATCATGGTTGAAAGATATCAATAGTTTCCAAAATGAGATCTATTAACAGAAATGCATCAACAGTTTCACACTTTCAATAAATGCATAAATTAAGTATAATCCGAATAATTAGAAATGACGTATAACACTTTAACGGTAGTAGACTATAAATACAAAAGGTA